ACGCAGCATCATTATGAACCACGTTTACTAAGGCTAATGCCCTTCCCCATCCTTGTCTACACTACCAAGATTTGTTGCCAAAACCTGCCTTTTGGCGACAAAGCACTGCGATGTGACTTTTCTCTGGAAAAACACCTAGTTTCAGTGACAAAAACCATCTACCCCTACAAGAGATTTTTTTCTTTCCTCTCTCCTTATTTTTGACAAAGAGCCAGTGATGCTTCTGCTGTTTGTTTTGTTAACAGAATTGGCTTCTACCAGTATCCCACAATGCTTGCCCTGGTGGCTCTGCTCAGTGTTTTGATCTCTGCTGCCCTTCAGGCATCCACCCCTCCCCTTTCCAATTCTGGGAAGTATCTTGACATTTGAGTGAGCTGCTTTGTTTAGGGAACAAACAAAGAACAAAAAATTGAAATGTTCTGCCCATTCTGCCCTGTACTAGGAACACAGCAGTAGGTAGACTTCAGCTGCAGGGTGTGGGGGACAGGCTGCTGAGCAGCTTTGACATTCCTCAGCACCAAGAGTTTACAGAGCTATTCATGATGCTGCTCCCAGCAGCTGAAGAAGCTGTGAGAGAACTCAGAAAGAATCCCAAGAGGAGGTCAGCTCTGCCTTCCTGCAACACTGCAGGATACACACAGTGCTTTGCTCACACCATCAAGGTCCTTTCATGGTTTGATAACTGATTAAAAGACAAGAAACAAAGGGTAGGAATAAATGGTAAGTTTTCCAAATGGAGAGAGGTAACTAGTGGGGTCTTCAAGGGTCTGTCCTGGGACCAATCTTGTTCAACTTATTTATAAATTATCTAGAGAAAGAGGTAAACAGTGAGGTGGCAAAATCTTCAGATGATACCAAACTGCTCAAGATAGTTAAGACTGAAGCAGACTGTGAAGAACTTCTAAAATCTCACCAAAAGAAGTGTTTCGGCAACAAAATGGCAAAAGAAATTTAATGCTGACAAATGTAAAGTAAAGCACATTAGAAAAAATAATCCCAACTATACGTACAATATGATGGGGACTAATTTAGCTACTCAAGAGAGAGATTTTGGAATCATTGTGGATAGTTCACTGAAAACATCCACTCAGTGTACAGTGGCAGTCAAAAAAGCAAATAGAATGTTAGGAATCATTTAAAAAAGGGATAGAGAATAAGACCGAGAATATCTTATTGCCTCTAAGTAAAACCAAGTGCAGGGGAGCCTAGACTACACTGCCGTGGCAATAAATGGTGATGTCTGTCTTGTTCAAAGTGCAGATTTCTGGCCTGTCTCAAGTCTGGTGCGCCAAAGCACGCAGGCAAGGAATTGAGTCAGGAATTGTTTTGCATAACAATGCAGATTAAGCAGGGTACGCGAGACCATGTCAAGAACAGATGACAAGCAACCTTGTACTGGTACTTCTGTTTGTGATAAGCAAAAGTACAAATGAAGCCATGACACTGTCAACTACTCACATAGTTTTAGATGTATGCCAAATAGAGGCACTGGGCATTTTACAGATCCTACACACTACGTAATCAATTGGTAAATATTATTAGAATGACCAAGTCTCGCTTTGTCATAAAATGGGCTTAGTAAGAACAATCGATGGGAGGGAATGAGCAGGATTGACCCACATGTCCCTACACACTGGCGACCCAGTGCATGGTGTTCCATTGCATGGGAAGAAAAGGAACCACAACCTCCTGCCTGGTACTGGAGGTAGCATACAGGTGAAATGCAAGTGACTTAGGCTTTATTATTCTATTACAGTAGATTTTCTAGTAATTACTTTTGCATTGCTTTGTGCTGTATTAATTGCTTTAGAATTTATAGTATTTAAGGTTTAAATTGCATAGTAATTGTTTTTAAGGTTTGTAAAACTTAAACAACTGCATTGATTGCTTAAAGCTTGAAATAAATAAGAAAGTGGTTAAGTAGACCTGGAGTGTCCCGGTTTCCCTTGGATCTAAAATACATCGAACCTCACGACACCACGGTATACCCACATCTTGATTACTGAGTACAGATGTGGTCACCTCATCTCAAAAAAGATATATTAGCATTGGAAAAGGTTCAGAAAAGGGCAACAACAATGATTAGGGGTTTGGAACAGGTCCCATATGAAGAGAGATTAAAAAGACTTGGACTTCTCATCTTAGAAAAGAAGAGACTAAGGAGGGATATGATAAAGGTCTATAAAGCCATGACTGGTGTGGAAAAAGTGAATAAGGAAAAGTTATTTACTTTTATTCCCACAATATAAGAACTAGGGGTCACCAAATGAAATTAATAGGCAGCAGGTTTAAAACAACAAAAGGAAGTTTTTCTTCACTCAGCACAAAGTCAACCTCTGGAACTCCTTGCCAGAAGATGTGGTGAAGGCTAGGACTTTAACAGTGTTCAAAAAAGAGCTAGATAAATTAATGGAGGTTAGGTCCATCAATGGCTATTAGCTAGGATGAGTGGGAATGGTATCCCTAGCCTCTGTTTCTCTAGAGGTGGGTGACAGGAGAGGGATCATGTGAGGATTACCTGTTGTGTTCCCTCATTCTGGGGCATCTAGTATTGGCAATTGTCAGCAGACACAATACTGGGCTAGATGGAACGTTGATCTGACCTATTATGGCCGTTCTTATGTTAATGATGCACCCTGTGTGGACAGGATCTGTCAACAGAGGGAACAAATGAGAACACCCTCTGGCAATTTTTGTTTTGTAATCTTTTGGGTGTCAATGTAAGTTTGTCAAAAAAACTTAGTAGTGTGCCTTAGTTTACATCAAATATTCCCTTGCCATGTCAATAGGCACTCATCCCTGCCTTTGCTTTTCCCTTCAGTAGTGCTCGCTCAGAGCAACTTGAGAAATAGTTCCTTCCTGGGGCACGCTCCAAAACCCTCTACAGGTAGATGCATAGCTTTGCTCCATGGCAGGCTGGTGAAAGGAATGGCACTGACATACGAAGGAGAATGGTTAGTCAGCACTGGAGATTGGGTGCACGTGCAGGGGATCCTTTTCTGGAAAAGTATTCATTGTCTTCAACTTCCTGAGTTTATTCTGAAACTCATTATATTTGGGCAGGTTTCCTTCTCCCCTTTTAAAATCCTAGTTCTTGAAGTCATGTTATTACATCTGAATATCAGCTTTTATTTAAGAAAAAAATAAGTGTCTATGTCTCATAGTTACAGAGAAATGCTTGGAATATGTAAATGTGCTCATGATTTTTGAGATCTGATGGATGAGGTAATATCTTTTGTTAGGCCAACTTTGTTTGGTAAGAGAGGGAAGTTTCTTCAGAAGAACTCTGTATAAGTTTCTTTGACCAACGGCCCGTGGCTTGGCAAAAATATATATAAAATATAGATATTTTAAAGTGTGACACCAGGTAGAGAGATGAGCACTTTTTTGTCAAACTTTGAACAGATAAATGTAGTAGCACCCCCACGCAGATAGACCCAGATAAAGATGAAATTCTAGTCTCCTAAAAAAGGCTATTTCTAAAGGGATTCTCCGTTAGCTTGCATGGTTGCATTTTATTTTCCTATCATGATGCCAGAGCCGGCCCACACCATTTTGGCACCTGAGGCAGGGAAATCAAATGATGCCCCCATGCCCACTCGCTTCAGGGCCAAAACTTAAAAAGATCTCTATTCTGCCTTCTTCCTGTTCTACTCCTCTCGTGGTACTGCTCTGTTACCTGCCTCAGTAAAGGAGAACTAACAACTTAAAATGCCTTGTTCAAAAATTGTAAGTAACACTTAAGTTTCAAACGCCTGAACAGCAAATGTGACTTTTCTTGTCTGCATAGTAAACACTGGCATTTTTATCTGCTTGAATAATCAAAATGATGATTTCTGTGCCTTCTTGTTGCAAAGATTTTAACTGCTTCCTGAAGGTCCACAGTCTGGGCCAGCTCATGCTTTATTGAGATGGTTGCAAGGCCAACCAGCCTCTTCTGTGTCATTGTGAAGCGTAGATGTGTTTTTATTAACTTCAGCTTGGAGAAGCTGCATTCTCCACTGGCAACTGTTACAGGAAGTGTTAGAAGTATGCGCAGAGCAACAAAAGCATTTGGAAAGAGGGTAGTCATCTTATTTGTGCACATATATTCCAGAACAGCCTTTTGGAGTTGATCTTGCTAAAATGTATCTTGAAAGGGCGAGTGATTCATCATCTAAATCACTCTCATGAATATCGTATATGTCACCATGTGTCAACACTGTTTCTAATGCCCTGCATTGCTGGTGTAGGTCGTCTTCAGGTACAGTGAGGAGTTTTGGAATATCATACAACATCCCAAATATACTGTTCTGTCCCTTGAACTGCATGAAACATTCTTCAACTGACTGTATTGCACTATCTAGCATCTAGTTAAAGAATTCAACTTTGAATTGTTGTTTGGGGTCTCTTATGGGATTATCCCATGCCTCGAAATCAAAATGTCTTCTTCTTTGGTGACTCTTGTATTTTTGAATGGGTGGGAAAATAGCTTCAGTATGACATTCCTCTGCCAACTTATGTGCACTCTTCAGAACGTTTTGAAATCCCTCATCTGACCGGTAAGACTGTAGGTATGACTTTGCTTTGTCCAGTTGTTCCATTGCTCCAGATATATTAAGGACAACGCTTTGGAGTCTCTTGCTTACAAGATTTATTTCAAACAGTATGTCATGCCACAAAACTAAGCCACACAGAAATTTGAAATTATGTATGTTTCTGGTGATTCCATTTACCTCTGCCACTGTTCTCCCACGAACAGTTCCTGTCATAGCATTATCCTCCATAATGGCAACTATGGCATCATCTGTCTTCCCAATCTGGTGTTTGATAGGCTTTATCGCCTCCACTCGACTTTCCCATCATGTGGCACTCAGTGGTTTCAGTGTCAGAGAGGATGTTCCCAGATGTTGCTTCAAAATTTGCCATAGATGAGTTGATGCAGAGAAAAATACATAGATGCTTTGAATTACATTAAAAAATTCAGCAGCCTCACTAGAAGCTGATGCTGCATCACTGACCACCAAGTTCAATGAATGAGAACAGCATGGGACAAAAAAAGCTTGAGGGTTTAACTCTTGAATCTGTTTCTGCACTTCTCTGTTCTTTCCTCTCATGTTGGCACCATTATAATAGACCTGCCCTCTCATGTCAGCTATCGCAATTCCCATATCTTTCAGCTTTTTAAGAAGCACATTTGTCATACCAGCTCCTGTAGTATCATCAATGTCAATAAATTCTAGAAAATTCTCTCTGACAGTCACCATTGTAGGGACATTTTCACTAGGTTCTGTTGTTACAAAATGCACCATTAAAGTCATTTGTTCCGTATGGCTGATGTCAGGTGTGCAATCCAGAATAACAGCCTAATACCTTGCTGACTTCAGATCTGCCACAATCTTCTGTTTGACTTTTGTTGCCAGTAATTGTATGATCTCATTTTGAATTGTTTTTTGAAGGTAGTGGTGTGTGTACATTTCTTGGGTGGTGACTCTTCTTACATGCTCCTGGAGTACAGCATCAAACTCAGCCATCAGCTCCACAATTTTAAGCTTCCATTGTTTGGCACATACATCTGATCTGAAGTGCCACGCAGTGCTAGGCTTTGGGTAGCAAGCATTCTCACAATGGCAATGAGCCTTTTCGGAACATTTTGCCAGTAAAGAGACTCTGATGCAATCTTCTCTTGATGCTGATCATCTATGGTGGCCTTTAACCTTAGTCTCATCTCAAACTTTTTCCACCTATGGAATGCTCTCTTGTGATTTGCTGCTGTCTCATGGCATGCCAGATTTTTTGTTCCTGTAGAACTCAATGTGGCTGGAACAGTAGACTGATGAGTTTGCAACAAAAACAGTATGCAGTATTCTGGGTTTTTGAGTACATAAGCCATGGCCTCTCTACTTTGTCACCATTGGGGATTTCATGCCAGTAATGTGTTGGATGGAAACTTCTATTTTCATTGTCCTTGAGGAACATGAAGTTTTTCACTTGCTGTGGCCCATATAGTACAAGGAAGTCCCCTCAGGCTACTGCTCAAGTGGGCCACAGTCCCTGATGATCTAGATTTAAGGAACTAAATTCAGCGGCAGCTGTTTCTTGCACCTCTACCACACTCTTTTCTGTTCTCTGATTTACACTTTTCTTCAGGAATGTGCATGGTTACATCCATTTGAGATGGAGATATGGATGCTGCAGTAAGTGCCAGGTCACCTGCACTCTGACTAACTGGAAGATCAGGAATCTCCTCACCACTCACATCCTCACTGGGGCCAGAAGGCTCACTGTGAACATTTGTGTCTGTGTGTCTCAGGAGAGCACCTTCCTGCTTAGATAGAAAAGCTTCCTTTGCTTCTTTCTTTTTCTGAATGCTGCCCCCAGAGGGGTGTTTTCTTCTTTCAATCATGACTGCTGTTCTGTGCCAGCGATAGTGGCTCTCAACACTCAGTTGAAGGGGACAAATAAGCAGGCTGATAGCAGGGCCCGAGTGAGGGCAGATATCAGCATCTTAAGGGTCTAACTGGCTCCTACTACTTCAGTTGACTGCTTGTTCTCCTCAAGTGGGTTCACGGAAGCAGCAGGAAACAGGAAGTTCCCTGAGAAGCTGGTGTTAATCAGTTCAGGCTCCTGGGGGTGCTAGAGAGGCTTCTCTCTCTCACCTTTATATATATTATATATGGAGCTATATCTATTTCATAGAACTGGAAGGGACCTTGAATCCAGTCCCCTGCCCTCATGGCAGGACCAAGTACCATCCTTGACAGATTTCTGAATGGGCCCCTCAAGGATTGAGCTCAAAACCCTGGTTTTAGCAGGCCAATGCTCAAACCACTGAGCTATCCCTCCCCCTGCCTGATATAGCTCTTGTGCCCTCCTTCCTCCAGCACAGCACTCCACCATCTCTGTGCATATAGAGCAGAGAGAATACATATGCACCAGCAGCAGATACAATTTTTTACACTCTGGGTCCTAGTGGCGCCCCTCCCCCCCAGTCTGGCACCTGAGGCGGCTGCTTCAGTTCACTGCATGGTAATGCCAGCCCTGCATGATGCTACTTTTTGTAACTAATCTAGACTATACCTCATACATCTCTGGCTGATTTCTTGAGATGATTGGTGCCATCTGCTGTTCCAAAGAAGCTAGTGCAAGCTCTGATATTCACAAGTGGAAAGCAGAAAGCTATTAGGGACAGGAATTTATAAGCAGCTGAATTAGACAATGTTTTGGTATCTAACTGTGCAATCTGCTGTACATTTTGTAGATAATTGAGCACAACCAAAGAATTACAGGTTTCATAAAGTGGCCCCTTCTTGAGACTTAATTTATTTCCTTGTGCTATGTCTTCTCATATTGTGGTTTTCAGTACTTTGCATTTAAAGTCTTGGTCCAAGGTTTGAATGTACAATGTATTATACCAGGCTTACTCAACTTTCAAAGCCCCGGGGTCCACAGTGATACTCACAGCACATGCCGAGGGCCGCAACTTAAGTGTGGTTGCATATACAGTACATGCAAATATATACGCAAATCTATGAAAATAGCTTTGTTCACACTTACGGGCATGAATACAAAGATTAAGGCAAGCCTATACAACACAAAGGCCCCATTTAAGTCAGTTCTGCTGATATTAATAAAATGCAATATTTATCCTATTTCCATCCATATGACAGCACTTTTAATGAGCATAACAGTCCAAGAATTTAACTACTAAAACACATCAACACAAGATCATTATATTGACTATTTTTTTGTTTTGGCTCCCATCCATGGGCCACAAAAAAAGGGCTGTGGGCCACACACGGCTTGCAGGCCACGTGTTGAGTAGCCTGCATTATAATTTAAAACAATCAATATTATATTAGACGTGTATATTGCAGCATACAATGATCTGAGCCTTCCTACTGAGGCCAATGCAAGCACGAAACAAAGTTTTAAAACAACATGGCCCTAATCATTGAAAATTAGGGATGCAAAAGGTTAACTGATTTCTGGGTAAACATCACTCTTACTAGGTGATGCTTACCAGGTAGGTGGTTAATCTGTGGCCAGGCTGGACTGGAGCAGCCCCTCACCTCTGGCACGACGCGTTAGGTCTGGCTGGGTTGGAGTAGCCACCCCACCCCCACTCGCAGTGTAGCACGGTGGGCCTAGTAGCCCCCAACCCTCGGTGCGGTAAGCCAGGCCTGGCCACAGCACAGTGGGCTCAGCCTGCCCTGGCTAGAGCAGCCACTGCTGCATCAGGCCCAGCTGGGCCCTGGACGGGGGACTGCCATTTCCTACCCACCCACAGTATCCCAGTTTACTGCTTAAATGTAACACACACCATTGCTGGTACATCACTGGTGGAGCAGGAGATGGCTCTGTCTTAGGGGGTACACTGGCAGCTGGTCACTTCTGGCAGCAGGCAATGCTCCACCCCTGCTCCCATCCCTCCCCCTGTGGTTCTGGAGAACCATTATGCTGTTCTGGATACAGGAGACAAGGCAGAAGAGAATCCAAGGCTGGGAGGTCTGCAGCCACCACTGTGAGGAAGAAACATAGGGTAGTGTTGTTTGGAGAGCTCTTCTGAGGAGGATGGAGGCACCCATCTGTGACCCTGACATGACATCTTGGGAGCTATGCTGCCTGCCAGGGGCCTGTATCCGAGACATTATGGAGGCATTGTCGAAGATTATCCTGCCCTCTGACTACTACCCCATGCTACTCATCCATGTGGGCACTAATGATATTGCAAGGTGTGACACTGAGTGGATCAAGAGTGACTACAGGACTCTGGAAGTATGGGTGAAGTAGTTTTGAGCACAGGTAGTGTTCTCTTCGGTCCTTCCTGTTAAAGATAGGGGGCGAGGAAGAGACAAGTGCAACCTGCAGCTGACTGCCTGGCTGTGAAGATGGTGTTCCCAGGAGGACTTTGGATTCTTTGACCATGGAAAGCTGTTCCAAGAAGGACTGCTAATGCTAAGCAGGGATGGAGGTTCACCTTTCGAGGAAGGGGAAGAGAGTATTTGGATGCAGACTGGCTAACCTAGGGTATGTCTACACTACCCCGCTAGTTCGAACTAGCGGGGTAGTGTAGACATACCCCTTGTTTTCCTTTATTCCCGTAGCTAGTTTAAGCTCATTTTGTGCCTTTGCCTTTCTGATCTTGCCCTGCATTCCTGTGTTGTTTGCCTGTATTTATCCTTTGAGTTCGGACTAGGGTCCTATTCCGAACTACCGTTACTCCTCGTGAAACATGCAGAAGGCCACCTTTTTGGAGCTGTGTGCCTGGCTCACCTCTGCCCTCCGATGATGCGACACCCACCTGAGACCCGCCATTCCCCTAGAGAAGTGAGTCACAATCGCCATTTGGAAGCTCGCCACCCCAGACAGCTGCTGGTCGATGGGCAACCAGTTCGGCTTGGGGAAGTCTACCACTGGGGCCCTTCTCATGGAGGTAAGTCATGATGGGGCTGCAGTCCCTGCGGGTGGGGGGGGGAGGGGTTGAGGAAGAAGGGGGGCCACCTGAGACCCGCCATTCCCCTAGAGAAGTGAGTCACAATCGCCATTTGGAAGCTCGCCACCCCAGACAGCTGCTGGTCGATGGGCAACCAGTTCGGCTTGGGGAAGTCTACCACTGGGGCCCTTCTCATGGAGGTAAGTCATGATGGGGCTGCAGTCCCTGCGGGTGGGGGGGGGAGGGGTTGAGGAAGAAGGGGGG